AGTTGATGATTGTCACAAGTTCGTTAAGTCTTGGATTCTTGGGTTTCAAAGGATACCAGAGGGTTCTCCTCTGGGCGCAACGCCCTGGTTTTCAGGCGCCCCGCTAGCGCCGGTAGGGGTGGAAACCTTGAACGTTATGGTTCTGCCCCCGGCCAAAACCACTGCCCCCGGCGGGCGGCCCACTGGAAGGGGGCACGGAAGGGCCTCCATAGGAGGGGGGCTGTTGGCTGGGGTCGGCGAAGCCTTGTCCAAATCCACTCAAGTCTTGCCCGTATCCTAGAAGGGAGAAACAGAGGAACAAAAGAGTTTGGTGAAGATGGGCTTCGTTGTGGTTTTCAAACGAATTCAGAACCCAGTCACCTCCTTCTCGCCCTCACCCTGAGCAGGGCCTGAGAGGCAATGGGAACCGGAGTCCAGTCCGGCCCACTGGATAGCCACTCGAAGAGGCTATGCTGTCTTAAGGGGAAGAGGACGGAGGTGTCTCCCCACTCTTCCACCCCATTCAAAACCTTCCCCAAGGACGGGCTGCTTTCTTACTTGGGTCTCTGAATCCCCCTGAGATTTGCATCCACAGGTATGAGGCACCCCCATTCACCCTTGGTGGATCGGAGGGCTCCCCCCTTGCAAACCCTCCGGCTGCTTTTCAAAGCAAGCTGGCATGTGCAACAAGTAAGCGAACGAGACACAAGAGGTAGTGTCGCTTTTAACACCTCAGAGCAAGACCCCGCATGTTAGTAGGCACAGTCCCCCTTGTGTCAAAAAGCAGCAGTGAAGCATGCAAAGGGGGTGAGAAGCCAACACCCCCCCCCCGTGTATCAAGCGAGACCATGGGTTGGTCCAGCACAGTGCCGTTCATTCTGACGGCCAATATCAAGATCTCGGACGCAGAGGGGCGTCATCGTGAAGCTCAAACCCACCGCAGATGGCCGACTCCAGGTTATATGGGGACCATATGCTTGGGATCCTACAGAAGCCCAGATCACATTGCCCATCTTGCTTTGGGGAAGGGAACATGGGCTTCTGTTATTCTTCCTTTGGCAAAACCCAAAGGGAAACATTTTTAAAACCAAAAAACACAAACCCAGTGACACCTTACAAACTGTGATAGTTTGATGTGAGCTCTTCTTAAACTACGGCTGTAAAAGAATTCGGGTTGGTTACTTTCCCCTCTTCGCACCCTTCCAGTTTCCAGCCTGGGCCAAATTCTGCTGGGCGGGAGACACGTTCTGCTATCACACTGAGTGGCTGAAACATTTTGGGGAAATTTCCTGAGCTACCCACAAAATCATGATGCGCAGCGTGAAGAAGATGCAGTATTCTCCAAAGCTAGGTGTCTGCCTGATTTGTTTTGGCTGTCTAATAAAGGTATCACCTGCCCTTGTGTTTGAAATATTTGGCTGGACATTAAGTCTCATTGTCCCATCATCTTCTCCAGATCACATTCCTGCCAAGTTCACTCTGACAAGTGATGCAGGCAAGGTGTTATGGAAGGAACAGGCTCCTCCTCTCCAAGGGAAGATCAAGTTTTCTCCATTGTCACCCAGGGCTGGTTCCACTGCAGGGGTTGGCAACTAGATGACCGGGCTGCAACAGCTTATCCTTCCGGCCACCTCCCACCAACCTGCGCTTGTCGTGTGCGTCACTGATGGTGGAAATACAAAGCAAAAACAAAGCTGTGTTGTAGTGTAGCAGCATGGGACTGGGACCTGGAAGATCAGAGGGTCTAAGCCCTGCTGAACCCGGAGGCCTTTGGACCGGTCTCTCTCGCTCAGCCTGACCTACTCAACAATGTTGTGGCGGGTGAGAGCATTGGAAAGAGGCCGATAAGGAATCCAGGAATCCAATTTAAAGGAGATCTGGTAAAACGGGTGTCCAGTTTTTCTCTTGAAGGTCTCTGGCGTCCGAGCGTCCACCACCTCCCGAGGTCCCATGGTCATACTGCTCTAACGGTTAAGAAGTCGTCTCTCCGCCCCCCCAAATATTCAGCCTAAATCTGGCTTCCTGTAGCTTCAGCCTATGACGTGTCCTGCTGAGCTCACTGGAATAAATCTGGGTCAGAAATATAACTGGGGAAAGACAGTCCGTTTAAAAAGCTAGCCATCTTCATGGTATCCACCTCACGTTCGTCTCATTCCTCTGGGGTAAACTCAGCTAAAAGGGCAGAGGCCAGCCAGCCAGCCGTGAGGTCTGGGGCTGCCACGCATCCCTGCGAACTTGGCGTCGCTATCATGGGGTTTCTGACTCGCTCACAAAACATGACCAACAGCACAACCCATGTGTGTTCCCAGACCAGGACTGGGGGGACGTCCACTTCTCCAGATGCTGCCCCCTGCCCCCATGGCATTGCACCCACAACGGGTAGGGCTCGCAATTCCTTTGGTCTTTACTGAACTGGGCTCTTCCAGGTTTCTGGCTGTGGAGCCTGAGGTTGGGAGTTCGAATCCCCCCCAGGGCCTCCTTGACAGGGGCTGGATCCAATGATCCATAGGTTCTCTTCCAGCTCAGCCGTTATGAGATGGTGATGATTATCTCTGCCTGGGGCCTTCACAAAGACACTTCTTCATCGCTAACAAATCCTACAAGGGAGAATTATTGGGTGTCCCTCATGTGACGCTATTGAGCAAGGGGGCTACCCTGCATCAATATATATATATATGGCAAATGGGTACAGAATCTCTCTCCCGCCCTCCTTTTAACTGACGCCATCTCTGCAAGGGAAAAAGGGAGTAAAAAGGTTACTTCCCCACCCACCCGCCGCATCCTTCCACACAAAGAGATCATAGACAAAATGATTGGGTGTAAAATAGGTGCCACCTACCTAAGGTAACTCACTTTTCAGCCTGAGCATAAGTGTGTAAACAAAGTATGGGCCCGAAGCCTGAAGGGTCTTGAACAAAGGCACCCAGCCCTGGTGAGAAACGGAGACCGGGGTGACTAAACCCCCCAAGAGAGCCCTGCACACAATCTGTCGTTCTCGTGGAAAAGGAGGGGAGCGAAGCAGACTTACCCACATGCAACGCCCAGGGAGGCCCTGGTCGGAGACGGTGACGGGCACTTGGGAGAAGCTACTATAAGGGGAGGGCTGGGCGAGGAGGGCCCCAGCTTTTGTCTATAAGCCCTTTGGGAAGGGGTCTTAGAACGGGGGTGGTGGTGGTCATTAAAAGTGAATAAGCACAGACTGAAAGCAGGAGAAGGTCACCCCTCTTGATACAAAGAGGTTGCTTTCGCAAGGATCTGCCACAGAAGAACCCTTCAGGATGAAATCGTAAATGCGGGAGCATCGTGATACTGGTGATTCATCGGGCTGTGCATGAAACCCCTTCATTTCTGGGCATGTTCTGTTCAAAGAATCCACCGCTGTCTTAAGAGCCAAGGGGGGTTCCATCTCTTCCTTCCCCAGAATGTTATGTCTTAGGAAGGATTTACACCCTGGTGTTCCCTTTCTTTGACCCTCCTGTTTGTCTCCCTCGCGTGCTCCATTTTTTTATCACCCGCCCCGTTCAAGTATTCTGAATGATGGAATAATAGAATAATGCCTCGAATAAAAACTACAGGAACACTCGAGGGATAGGATATATCTCCAGAGGGGAAAAAAGAGGGTGGGGGAAAGAGCCTGAAATTTCTATGATAAATGCAAGGGGGTGAATGCAATTTCATAAAAATCTAAATCATATTTTTAAAAAACCCTGCAGTTTTTTTTTCTTTTCTGCTCTCTACTGTAGCTCTGTTTGAGCTTAAACCTGGGAACTAAAACAGGGTTTTCTGCAAAAATGCAGACTCGTGGGACAAAATGTGGGAACAAGAGCGAATTCCTTGTCCATCACTCCTACTTCTCTCAAAAAAACCTGGCCACCTTCTCCAGAACTATGATGGGAGGGAAAATGGCCAGCTGGGGTGACGTTCAGGAGGACGGTCGGTTTTCATGCAACCGGGTAGAGAAACCTCTTGACTGAAGGCTTAATGAGAAGCCCCGGTCAATGTCCTGCTCGGCCCAACTCAAAGGGGGTGAGAGGAAAAAATAGAACCGCGTTGGGTAGAGCATTTCCACCAGGTCTTTCCCTGGGATGGTTCCGATTAGCAACAAATATCCTGACGTCAGATCATTTCTTTGCTTCCTCAAGCGTTTTTCTCAAAACTTTCTCTTGGCATGGCCACTGCCCTCATGTGAGAGGTTAATTCTGGGCACCTCCCAACTTCTTCGAAATCCCACTCAGGGGTAGCTTATCCATGGTCTGCATCCTGCCGTCCTTTTCTGGATGGTCTCCTGGTTTTGCATCGCAGAATGAGCAAAAGCAGGACAAAAACCCAGGTATCAGGAAACCCAACCTTTCTCTAGAGGAGGAGATCCGCCGCTGAAGCATTCCAGACAGCTGGCCATCTAACCTATGTCTGAAAGCCTCCAACCACTGTCAAGGTGTTCTTCTTAATGGTGATCCTAATCACGGGCCAAAAATTATGACTAAGGCTGACTCTTTCCAAGGTGCTCCAGATAGAGAGCACTCAGAAGTGGCTTCCCGTTCTCTTCTTCTGGAGCACAGAGAGACCTGGGACTGAATCTAGCTGGCCCAAGGCCACCCAGGCTGGCTCTTCTCCCAGAAGGCCCAGTGGGGGATTCGAACTCTCAACCTCTTGACTCTGCAGCTAGCTACCTAACTCACTGAGCTATCCAGCCAGTTTCCCAAGGATCGCCTAAGTTGTCTAAGGAGCCCTCTCTCACAGAGACCTGTTTTACTTATGGCATCCCTCAGTTAAAGCTTGGCTTTTGTACAGAAGATTGGGGGGAAACTTGCCGACTCAGGTTTCATCGATCTTTAAAATCCAGGAGGAGCAACCCAGGTTTCAGGGAAGGTGTTAACTATTCTTTCCTAAACCCCAACCAGTCACAGAGCTAGACCTGCACACTCATTAAAAAAAAAAAGCAAGAGCAAAATACAGTATTAATTGAAAGGGTTGTTAAAAAAATCCCTAGGAAAATGGAAAGGGTTTGTCACTGAGGGCCACAGGACCTTTCCATGCATCCGCTCTGGATTTCTCGCCTTGTTAAACAACCTAGAAGTAGAGAACTTCATAACTGTCTTTTAAGGAGAAAGGTGGGATGAAAATATTTTAAATAAATAAAATAAATAACATATGCTGATCTGCTTACGGGTCTTTAAACATGGGGGAAAAGGAAACGGTGTTATCGCAAAGAAATGGATCGCCAGTGGAGTGCAGACTAAGAGATGGAAATGAAATCTATAAAATCTAAAACTGCAAAGGGGGGGACCGGTTCCGAGCAGAGTTCAACAGAAGGGCCACAGAGCCTCAGGTAGCACAGGTACAAAACTAGGAGGACGGCTTGGTCTGAGGATGGGCATGAACTCTACCCTCCTGGGGTGGAAGGAAAGAGAATGTCTTGAGACGGTGGAGCTGCAAGGCCTCAGAGGCGTGAGCAACTCTTGCCTGGTTCCCAAGGACAGCCCCGGGGTGCGTGGGAACGACTGAGGCGACTCAGCTTGGAAACCGCACTGGCTGTGTTTTGACTCAGGAGTCCACAGGCGGAGGGGTGGAAGGAGGGATGGTTCCTGCAACGCTGCAGCTCACATGATAGACACTTTGGGCTAGTGACTAGGTTTTCCTGCATCCCTTCCCATTTTCTATACACACACACACACACAAATCCTCCGAAGGTCATCTCCAGGCCTTTACGCCTAGAGACACAACAGACCACCAAATTCATCGTTCCCAGGGGCCCCCTTTCCGTTCCTCAGGGATAACGACAGTGGCAACTTGGTAGTGACAAGACATCCGATTTATCCCGCTCTGACATGTTCCCATGCTCACCACCCAGGACAGCCCTGTTTGGATCTCACAAATTAAGTGCCCTCGCCTGGTGCAGATTAATGGAAAGTCTCCACCTTCAAGGCCGCTGAGAAAACAGGTAGTCCTCCTTCCCCAGCTTTTATTTTTAGAGGTGAAAACGAGGCCACAAATGCAGTGGGCATTTTAGAGATTTCTGTAGGCATCGTTTGCATGAAAACCCCCTAAACCTGTTTGCCATCAGGAGCTGGGATCGACAAAAGGAAGGGGATCGGAAAGGGGGGGGGGAGAAAGCAGGGACACAGAGACTCTCCTGGGGTCCCCCCTGAAAACCACTTACCAAACTGAGTATAGGGGAAATCTGGCTGGGCCGTCGGTGGCTTGCTCATGTCCTGAGTGGGCTGAGATGGCGGTGGTGGAGGCGGAAAGGCGAGTGGTGCTGCCCCTGGGGTGGCAGGCGGAGGAGGGACGCCGGGAGGGGCGAACTGGTCTGGTGGAGGTGGCGGCGCGCCATATCCAAAACCTGGAGGAGGCAAAAGAAGGGCGGGACGCATCACCACAGGATCACCGGAGAGGCAGAGAAAGCTTGCCCGTGTCCTTCACCACGGAAGGGATGACCCGCCTTAGGAGAAGAACCCTTGGATTCTCCTCCTCATTATTAAGAGACTTGCAGGGCTGAGAAGCGAACAGTTCAACCAAGCAAAGCAGAGCGTGCTGCTTCTGAACCGACCCTAGCGCTTAAAGCATTCTTTGGGTGAAACCTCACCTCAGCGAGCTGTGTACAGTACTCAATTTACCCACCTTGGAAGGATGGAAGGCGGAGTGAACCTTGAGCTGGGATTGAGCCCGGACTGTGAGCAGAGTTTGGGCTCCAGGACTGCAGTTGAACCCCTGCAGCAGGAGACTCTTTCCAAGAGCCCATGCGGGGTAATATAATGAAGGCCCCAGGTCTTGGGTTCAAATCCCTACACCGAGTAGCCTTGCACTAATGGGATACCCCCCTAACCTTAAAAGGTTGCTTGTCAGTGTTATATGAACTAAGGGCGGGACAAAAATCTGCTCCCCGGAGCTTAGAAAACTTCTTTTTTTTTTTGGCTTGTGACCCGTGCCCATTGGGATTCTGGGAGTCGCAGTCGGGGAAAAGCAGAGGTGCAGCTTCCACAAGATGGGACGAAGATGTGGGAGGGAAGAAACAAGAGCCAGGAACGGTCTGGGTATCCTTACCGAAGGGTGGAGGAGTGCCGTATCCCTGGGGGAAGCCCTGCGGTGGTGGGAATCCTCCTGGAGGTGTCGAGACGATGTATGAGGTAAAAGGTGGCGGTGGTGGAGGAGCGCCTCGCCCTGGAGGAGGGGGCCCGTAGCCACCTGGGGAGGAAGAGGAGACGATGAGAAGCAGACCATACAGAAAAGGGGAGCCAGTCCCCAGAGACAGGAGGGTCCCCTATTGCACAGCAGGCAACATTTGCCCACATGCATCCTGCTGGCATCACACGGTTATCCTGTCCCTTCCGATGCAGGCGCTGACCTTTGATGGGGCACCATTTTAATCCCCCCCGCCCATTCAGCCCTGATGCAGCTTTAACGGGGTGCCGGACCCTTATTTAGACAAAACAGCCGTCCCGTACAGGGCACCTGGCACCTTCCGGAGTGACGTGTTTAAAACATGTGCCATTCCTAAACCACAAGGGGCCACCCTGGGCTTTTCTAGCCCTAGACAGTACCGTTTGAAACACACACCAGAGGCTCTCCCCAAAAAACCCAGATGCAATTCGCTAGGGATACTTGTGCGTTTCTGGGTCTGAGTAGCTTTTTAAAATGAACTTTTCCCCCAGACAAGAGGGAGGGGTTGGGGGGTCCCAAGTCATTGAAAAGAAAACCCAACAGCCCTGAGTCTTAAGTCCGACTTGACAGCAAGTCCGACAACTCAGGTCCCCCTCCCTGCAATTCTCTACTACAATAGGATGTGCTGTCCATTATATTTAACAACAACAAATCAATATATATTCTTTAAAAGACCCGAAGACAATTCCAATTCCTTTCTGAGGGGCTGATACATCCCCTAAAGGATCCTGGCCCTGGAAACACATGTGGCCACAGGAGTCTTTGCGTCCCTACTGTCTAGCACACAGGGCATATAAACTGAGACATAAGACAAAAGATTCAGGGGTGAGTGTGTAAATTAATACAAACACAATTTACACAAATGATCCCAAGGGATAACAGGCACTCTCTTCGCACATTTCAAAGTAAACAGTTCTCTCCCTCATTTTCCAGACTCAGTAAATTAAAAGGAATTTTAATTTAATGGATTAAATTTAATGGATTAATGGACAATAGGGTTGTTCCCCTAAAAAAAGTCACTCCCTGAAACAACTTTTTTTGAGGTCACTTCTATGTCTTGAAACGTGTGTGATATATATTTTTAGCCCAACGATCAGGGAGAAAAGTGTCTCACCCAAAGATAAGAGGAAAACTTGGTTCCCCTTTTAAAGGCCACAAACTCACAGTTTAATTTGCCTCTGAAATGCAAAATAAACTCTTGCATAAACGGCATTAAGATGCACAGCAGGTTCTAGCGGAAAGGCAGATCAGCCTAAGAAAGGGCATCACGTCCGAGCTGCTGAGTAAGCGAAAAAGCTAATAAAACATGAAAAACTGCAGACGAATAAGCCACGGAGGCTCTTAAAATCTGGCATGGCTTTCCGATTCTTTCCCCTGGATCCAGCAGTTAAGACTGCTGAAAAGAGAGATATCAAGAGGTGCAGCGGGTGGATTTTAAATATTTTCTTCTTCACTTGTTCAGCCTCACTTCTCAGCTGCTTTTTAAGACAAAACTCTCTTCACCCATCTGAAACGCCAAGAACATACTCACCGAGTGCTTGTCCGGCTGGTACCCACATACCTAAGGGTGTGAGGGAGGGGAGAGGGAAAAAAGGACACACACACAGAAGAAGAGCAGGTCAAGCCTCTGCAGCTGTTTCATCAGAAGAGTGCAAGGCACAATCATTTCAGAAAGACAGCGGGGATATCAAGAAATAAAAGACAAAGGCCGACCCGACCCAGAATTATTCTGAAGCCAAGGCTTCTGGGTGGGGGAAGGGGGAGGATCCCAGAACACACACACACACACACCCAAGATGCAGCTGGGAAGCCTGAAGACCGAGAGGCTCACGTATGAACCCCTGGAGGAAGCGCCACGGTGGAGGCCTGTGGCTCAAAAGCAAAGTGTGCTGCTTGCACACCACCCTGTAGCACTTAAGGCACTCTCTGGGTGGTTTCTAATTTAATTACATAGGCTACGCACTGCCCCTCGCCCTCCAACAAGCTTTATCAGCCTCAGAAGGGTGGAAAGCTGAGTCAGACCCTGTGCCCAGGATCGAACTCAGGTCGTGAGCAGAGTTTTGGCTGCAGTGCTACAGTTTAAGCCCCGCGCCACGGGCCTCCTTAAAAAAAAGGCACGGCCATCACGCCACTGCCCAGAGCCACACAGACACAGCCAGAGTGGAATGGCCCAAAGGAAAACTTGTGTGGCGTCCTTTCCCTCTAAAGTGTTTCTGGGGATCAAATGCTGCTGATGAAGTTTGACACTGCAGGGAAGAGTGGAAGCTTGCTCCTCTGGCTATCCGAGCAGGTATATTTTCTGCCTCCAAGGTCTCAGGCAGAGGAGCTGCCATCTCCAAGCAGCGATATGTGGGTGGGTGGGTGAGAGAGCAGAACTTCCGCTAGCCAGGACAGGAGGAAGTGGCCCAAGTCCACAGTCTCACAGCCCGAGAGCTCCTCTTGACGTGGGGGCAGCCCATCTGCGCAACCTCAGAGCCATTCTAGACATGAGCTTTGGACCAGAAGAGGTCTTCGCAGGAAGCACGGCAGGATCCTCTTCCACCAGAGACACCCGGATCCTGGGACCTTGCTGGGCTAACCACCCAGTGGTGCTTTCCTGAACCTTCAACATGCCGGAGCGCCTGCAGGAAGCCAAAGCGCCGGACGCATGGCTCCGAGGCTGAGCCCCAGTTTGGCCGGGAAGACGGGCCACCGCCATCAAGAGGGAACGCTTTGTTCAAATGGCTCCCCCGTCATCTGTATCGAGGCAACCCCAAGCTGCCCTGGACCCTGAAGCCCGACGGGGGGAAAAAAGAGGCCTACCCTGAGGTCCGTAGCCTTGCTGCCAGGTGGGCGGAGGCTGCCCTGCCCAGCCATTGGCAGCACTTGGCAGGATCCGGCTCCCCCATTGGCTGGCACCTGTGGGTCCAGGGGTCTGGCTCTTGCTATCCCGAGGCTCGGCCCGCTTCACCTCCACCTAGACAAAGAAGGTCCAACACTCAGGAGGCGGAGGCTGTGAGTCAGCTTTAACCCCCCCCCGCCCTTCACACACACCCTTAAATTACACTTAAAAACTATTATCTTAGCATCTTATGACTCACAGCTAAGTGCTTTAGAAATATATATATATATATACACACAAAAATATATATATATTACAAACTTATTTTTAAGGACTCTAATTCAGGAAAAGTCAATGTTTCTCAGGTACGACGGAGATCTGAGTAAGCCACTCTAAAGGTCTTGGGGTTCATGGGTGGTTAGGATTAAACACATTGTCGTGTGTGATTTTATTTCTTCACTTCCTCATCTTCAGTCTCCCCACCCCACCCCGGTCGATTAACACTTGCCTTATGCAAGCCACACACAGCTTTGCTTCACATGTGGGAAAAACTGGGCTTACAAGTGAAGCGGGAGAGAACATTGTGAAAAAGGGACTGGGGCTTTAGCCAGACCCTGGGGAGGGATGCTTTGGAGAGTGGGGGGAATGAGGAAAACAAGTGGGACCGACACCAAAACCCACCACTAAAACTGCCAGGTCAGCTTTGTTCATACCTGAGAAACACACCTTTGGTTTCCAGTTGCTTTCTTTTTTTAAATTCCTCTTTGAAACTTAAGATTTTAAAATTATTATAATTATTATTATATTATTAATACTATTATTTAAAAGTCTAATGGAAGATATAGACTTACCTTTCCCAGGCTAACGCTTAAAGAACCTCAAATAACTCAAACAATGTCAGAAGGAATGGATGTGATAAGAGAACCTTACATTACATCTAACAAAAAAAAGGTAAACAAACATGCAGGTAATAAAAAAAATGGACAGTTGAGTCAATAAGAAGCAAAACCTTCATACTGTGTTAAGTCAGGGGGGAAGTGGAGGTTGACACTAGTATGCTTGCTGCACCCCGTTTTCCTGGAGAGGTCTGGCCTTAGCCAGGTCCTGCTTGGATTATTGTAACACAGCCTACATGGGGCTGCCCTAAGAAAGGGTTTGGAAACTCCCATGGGTCTAAAATGCTGCAGCCAGATTAATTGTTCCAGCAGCTCCACTGGCAGCCGATCTGTTCCCAGGCACAATTCAAAGTGCTGGTTCTAAGCTATAAAGCCCTAAACGGCTTGGGTCCAAGGTATCTCCTATTCCTGTTGGATGCCCTCACCTTTTCCATTTTTTTAAAAAAAATATTGTTATGATGTTGGATCCTCTTGAGATGGGGAAACAGCAATTTTAAATACAGCCACTAATTAACAAGTCCCCAACCAGATTCCTAGTCACGAGCCACTTGCATGACTCAGCACATGACTAAGAATTCAAGCAGAGAATCTTTAAAATTGGCAATTTGCACCCTGCAAATGTTCTATTGGATTCTGGCCACATACGATTTGATCAAATAAGCTGAGCTGAACTTCAGCTTAAAACTTGTTCTGGTGGCGGTGAAGGCGGAGCCCTCGGCTAAGCAAACCTGAGCCACGGCGGGAAAGTGGGAGCTGTAGTTCGAGAACACCCAGCGATTTCAAAGGAAGCTCCAGCTCATGACAGAGCACACCAGGGACAATTGGGTCCTCCTCCGTTGGCACATAAATAAATCAAGATCCTTTAGATCGAAAAGGCCCAGGCCATGGTTTGAAGCACAAGGTGCAACAGCCTCCCTAGAGCGAAGCAGGCGGTGACGGGAGAACCTTGCAAGAAAACTCGAAAAGCAGGACGCCAGGATGCAGATGGAATAAAGACACATTCGCCTGTCTACTCTGGCCTGTGCTTATGCAAGGATGCATAAAATAACTAAAGGGAGTGAGTGATTATCATTGCCCTAAACTCTCCTATCTTGTTGAGTTATAGCTTCCATTTTTTTACTTGGGGAATTTTTTTGAAAAGCTAGACGGCTATAGGCATTTCTGAGCGGAATCCTCCCTTCTGTTTCCTCCTCTTTGGACGCCAGCACAAATTTATAGAGGTTGAGATGGGCCCCTACGATGCCTTCTTAAGTCACTTCTTGCGAAGCTCTGCTCGGAGGCGAACATCTCCCACTGAAATAAACCCCTTTTGCCCGTAAAAAAAAAATCTCTTGAGAGGGGCTGACAACACAGTATGAAGATGACAACAACCAAAAAAGGTCACTTAACTGCATTGTGGTTTAAAAAAAATACTGTTACAGATAAAAAGAATAGGTGGATTTGCATCAAAGTCTCACAGTAAGTGACCCCAATTTTTTAAAAAATTTTTGTTTTGTTTTGTTTGTAACCATTCCTTCACGATGATTGGCTGAAAGGTTTTGTTCAGATTAAGCTCTGAGAGGCCACCATGCGGGCCGCCTCTCCCCACTCCCCACCGAATCCCAGGTTGGAATATGAAATACAGGATCGTACATCTGAAGGAGTGGTAATGAGGAGCTGAGGCTTCAGCAACATAGAGATTTCACTGGCGCCGCTTTCCCGGCTACTCGCGGCTAGCTTGTGATCAATCTATACACAATCTCCTTTGTGTGAGCCTTTGAGGGCCAGGAAGCCTAGGTGAACAGCCATGGCGGGCATACCTTCCTGAAGAACACTCAAGAAGCACCTGCATGCTCTCTCTCTCTCTCTCTCTCTGTGAACAGGCCGTACAGAGGCAAATGTCCCCGATTTATTGCACATGGTTTTCAGATCTATGACATTCTCAAACCCAAACGGTCTGTAAATCATTCAGCTGTGGATGCTCAGGGCACCCGTTTTCTAGGGATCTACCTTACGGAAGTTTTATGTTATGGGAAATGTAGGGAGATCTAATCCACCCATGCCACTGTGAGGGGTCACAAATCGGGCCCGACTCCTGTCACATGCCTGCACAGAAGATACACACCCGGGTATCCCTGGGGAAGACTGCTAGTCATAATAGAGGCAGTCGAGACCCATTTGATAAGCCATGGTTTATTGGGCAGAATCAACACCAGGCCTGCAACGTCCACCTCTTGCGTGTGGACAGAGCGCAAAGGAACAATGCCTCCCCCTTGGGAGGCGAGTGGGCTGAGAAGCGACGGTTCATTGGCTCAAAACTATTCCTTTCAACATCAGCGGCTGTTTTTCAGGGAGGTCTGTCCGCCACGAACCAATCTTTTTCCCGAGCAAGGAGCGCCAGGGCAACCCAAGGCAGGTGGAGCATCCGTTCAAGATGGAGTTGTGTGACTCACTAAGTTCCAGAACCCAGTTTCACCCCCTTGAGGGCTTGCCGCCCGCCCCCTTCCTGTCCGCCAGCCAAATTGCTAGTTGCTCGAAGCCTCAGCTTGGTCTTAAGGTAAAATAAAACTACAACTACACACTTTTTTGCCCATGATGTCGTGAAAATGCATGTTGACAGCCTGGTCCACTGATTGTTCGTCCTCGAAAGTAATAAATCCAAAACCTAGCCAACGACGAAGAGTGAATCAAGGTAGCAGGGTGTTGTGACACAAAACAGGATGATGAACAGTCTTTGGGGCGGACCAAGGGTTCGAAAAAGGGTTTCAGGCCATCCAACGGTCAGCTCTTTGGGGCTTGGGGGAGGCAAGGAGTGGAAGGTGTACATTTAACTCAACGGAGAGCGTATTTAGTGCTGGCCTCTCCATAGACAATCTTGCTTTTGCAACTGAAATTCTTTAACCACCCAACTCAAGTCAACTGTTAATTCTACTCCCATGCAGGACAACTCGGAAAAGCCAAGTCACCGCTAGTTGCTGACATTCCTGCAAAACCAACTTCTCTAGGGGATGGGGCAGGGTGGGGTTTTAAAAATAAATACCTTGCAATTTGATAAATTTAAAGGCATCCAAACAGTAACTCCTGAAACCCCAAATTTCCCCCTTGGTTTCACTTTGCTTTGCAGCTAGTGCTGACAGCAGCCATTTATTGTTCTAAAGCGTTCAACAGAAAATAATAAAACAAGGTAACACTCTCAGTAACAGTTAGTGTCTCGCTAAGCTGACCCAACATGGTTGGGTAAGCCCATGGAGCCTTAAAGTAGAGAAGATTCATACTTAAAAAGACACAAAGATACAGGCCAAGGTTGCAGCAGGTCAAAATTCTGCTGTCAGCAACAAGGAACAAATAGCATAAATAATAATTATGATAAATTGGTAGGGGGACAATTCTAAAAATTATTTCCTGCGCACAAGAGGATGACCCTAAACCAAGAAGCTGAGTTCAGCCAGGGTGGCCTCCAAAGGAGGAGCATATGTTTGATCAAAGGACATCGGTCTTAGCCGTACTGGAGTTGAAAGATGGGCAACGGCTGGACAGGCAATTTGCAAACATCCGATGCTTAAATCGTGTGTGTGTGTTGGGAGAGGAGAGGAATCAAGGGAACTACAGCACCAGCAAAACCGGACAGGTATTGCACAGAAGCAGAAGCAGAATGGTGTTTGTTTTACAAAGGCAGAGCCGGAAGGGACCCGATGGGTCAACCAGTCCAGCCCGTCAAGGAGCCCCCATGGGGGAATCAAACTCCCAACCTCTGGCTACGCAGACCTAAACCGCTGAGCTGAGTTGAAGGACAGAGGAAGGGGAAGAAGTGAAGGTTGAGAAAATGCACAAGATCTTGTCAATGAGAGGATCCACAACCGAAACATAGGAAACACTGTGATGGGCCTGGGGAGCTGCCACCACTTGAAGGGTGCTGTCGGACAAGATCACTCAACAGCTCTCCAGACCTCACCGTTGACTCAAAGGAAGAGAGGCCAGCCCACCTGACAGACCTCTCCGGGAGGTTGGGGAAATAAAGAGAAGAAAGAGGATGAACAGATTTGGGACACGTTGCTACTGACCAGTCATGCTACAATACCTGGCAAACAAGGTGGGTTAAAAAAGATCTATGAGGTTTTAAAAATAAGAAGTTGGGCAGCATAGGATGAACTGCGTTGGTGGGGGAAGAAAATGTGAATTTTCCCCTCTTAGAAAGAAGGAAAGACCGTGGAGTTCTAAGACCCGACGGACAGGTAGTGGTCCTCCCAAGATGGAAGAGTGGCAATTTCGCATGTTGTGGGGCTCATTTGGGACCACAAATGAAAAATGCCTATTCGGAGCCAGTCTTGATCGAACCCGTAGCTCTTCTGCTGGTTTTATTATTAAGATGTTTTCCAAGACCAAAGCCGGCCAAAGATGCATGAGAGAAATGCAAAAATGACAGAAGATGCATTTTAGATCAGCAGGAATAACATACCCTGGGGAAGGCCTGGCACCCAGTCTCACTCCAAGAGGGAATCCTCACCCCTCCTGGGAGGCTTAGTTGGCCTCCTAGATGCCTCTTAAAGCAGCAGCTGGTGAAATACAGCTGGGAGAGAAGCCAGGCCCTGAGAAATGCTCGTGTTTAAAATTTTAGCTCAGGCTTGGAATTATTGGGTGGCTGCAAAGAAGCCAGGATTTAAAAGCAAAAGGGGAAAATAGGTTTGGTTTAGATAGTTTAAATGAACAAAACTAAGGACGAATGCCTGAAAACCATGGAGGATGGACTGTAGCCCCATCTGTAAGCCTCAAGGCGACACTCCACCAATCTAGCCAATCACATCTTTAACACAAAGGATACATATACAGGATCTTGCAGACTGTTTAAGTGGATGGGATTTGTGAAGATCTGAGGGCCTTCCGGGTGGAGAAATGGGGGTGGGGGGCTTATGGGCCCCCCTCTGTTCCTCCCATCCACGGAGCTCTCTGCCCACGGTTTCATCTCAACAAGGCTCAGCCATTTAAAACTGGAAACAAGAAGTGAGGTTCCTGGAAGGACGAGAGCTGCCAGGCAAGAATGGAGGGTTGTAAAAATGAAACACAGGACAGGAAAAGCAGAGGCACTGGGTGAGGAAGGCAAAAGATATTTCCTGGGGTCATCTCTGTTGTCATTTAATCGGCACGTGTACATCCACATGATATTACAGAGTGAAGAGAAAAAGAACAGGGAATTGCAGATGCTGCGGGAGGAGTGATTAGAGGCGTGCACTCAAAGCAGATTGCTTGTTGCCTAAATGCACGGTTCCACAGAATAAGTGCAGGCTCATCCCTGGCTGGCTGGTTGCTTCAGGTGAGGATGAATCAAGCTGGGCTCAAGAAGTTGTATCACAGTATTGTGGGTTGTGCTGCTGGCCCGGACCCCCTGTGTCTGGCAATAAACGGTGCACCCAGTCCTCCCAGCGCCGTGCTAGCGAGCGGAGCAGATGCCACCGTGGCCGCCTCTCCCTAACCCCAAACCTGTCCGGCTTCAGATTTGGCTGGATAGCTCGCTGCAATGCCGGTTTCCAGCTCACCGTGCTATTTAGGCAAGAGGGTTCCGATTTTTAAAAACCGGGAAATCGCAAAGGCAGGGGTGTGTGTGTTTAAAACAACGAACCCCCAAGGTTAGGTCTGGATTTGGTTTGCTGAGAGGGTGGGATGGGCAGTTTTAAATAACTGGAAGGGTTCCTGTAGAAGGCATGGCACGGGAGAAGATGCTGCTCTCTGCTAGGCCACTGGGTTTTTCTGCTGAAACAGTTCAAGGCCTTTGCAAAATATATGGAGGCATAAAAGAAAAAGCCACCTTCCTCCTTCACCAAACGCTGACAACTTGGGTTGATATTCTCAGTACAAGAGAAGGCCCGGCCCCCTTTTTCTGTTTGTGCAAATGGCCTGTACCTCTGTGATCCTCTATCACCTAAAAAGAAAGAATCTAAAGAGAGATTTATCACAGAACAAGTTCACAGAGAGGAGAAAAGAAAAGGTGGGGGAAAGAAAGGAAGAACTTAACGTTTACTGTACTTTTACTATGAAACACTTAAATATGCCACTAAGGATGTATGTCTAAATTAAAAACAAAAACAAAAACACAATAAATTAAAACAAAAGGAGACTTAACAGCTTAATCAGTATGAAGTGAGGAATTTATAAACACTGCTTTAAATAATGGAATCAAGAGGGAGAAGTGTACAGTTCAGATGGCAAACTCAGTTCCAGCGTGTTTGTACATGCGACTGAGGAGCTTCTTACAACTGGCAGGGGGTGGCGTTTTGGAAAACATTGCTTCTAGAAATGAGACACAACAGTGGTGCAAACGGAGAGCCGGGCAAGGTGAGCTTACCCAAGCGTATCGGGCTGGGGGGGGGGGAGACACTGAAATGATGCTCCGTCACTCACAGAAATGCAGCATCTCAAGGTTAAGCCAGGAACTGCACAGATGTACAGCCACAAAATGACACAAGCAACCATTTACAAATGTGGGTTTTGGCCCTGAATTTTGGCCTTGGCCATTTAATGAAAAAAAAACAAGCAAAGAAAGGTGGGGGGGACCAACGAGGAAACACGAAGCAACATAGGTTCTAGTCGTGCGGATGGGGACAACTGCAATCTGAATAGAATTTTGATGGTCTCCCTACTTTTTTTTTTAAGAGCAGGGAAGAACAAGATCTAAACTCAGCCATTCCAGGTCATTCCCTCTCACTTCATTTTCGAAGCAAGCAGCTGAACGCAAGTGCCTTCCATATTATTTATAGGCAACCTTCTTTTTTGGGATGTAAGGGGCTGGCGGGTGGTGGTGGCAGGGAACAGCAACAACGCATGCAATGTTGGACTTCACAGCAGTGACACACCCAATGAGCCTGGATGAAACCCCTCCATGAAGTGGTTTGTTCGGTGAAATAATTTATTGAGCCAATGAATGAAAACTAACATCATTTTTGGGGGGAGGTGTGCCGGGGAGAGAAAGAGATGGATGCGGTAAAAAGTTTGCCATCTGACATAGGGAGAGGGGAAAGAAGTTTCGAGGGCAAACTAGATTCTCCTTTACCTCGCGGCCGCTGCTTCTCTGCATCATAGATCATCACCACTTCAGTGACCTGGAAAAGAAAAGAAGCAAAGTCACCGTGTGATCAGGCGACGAGCAGCAGGAGGGTGGGGAATGGCAGGGGCTGGATCACAAACCAAACCAACACACAATTAAAAGCCTGATGCATCATTGTTAGTATCTATATGGTTTAGGTAAGTGGGGACGTTGAAAATAAATGGCTTTTTTTTTCAGCACAGACTCTGACACAGGCGAACCCCTGCCCTTCTCTCTGGGTACTGATCAATGGCAGGGCTGCGTGAAGTTGGTTCCACAGGGGTTGTTGGGCTGCAGTGGAGAGCCACTGGCTAGGGCTGACGGGCACTGGGGAGTCCAACCAACATCAGAATGCAGCCTTTTAGGCACCAATGATGGAGAACAGACCGTCCGGATATGTTCAAGGCCCCCCCCCGGGTTAGTTTGGGTCTCCCACGTCAAGGAGGGAAAGAAAGATCCAGGCTTTGGAGGAAAGGTTTACTCTCATTGGGATACCTCATCACCATTCGACTATCTCCGACTGTGGGATTTGTCCTAAGCTCAGGAGCTGGGATCTAAAATTTCCCGTTCCAAATTATCTAGCAAATGATCTAGAAAACACGTTCAGGGGTTCCCAACCTTGGGTAACCGAAGTGTTCTTGGACTACGGTTCCCAGAAATCCTGGCCAGGCGCATCTAGTGGTGGAAGCTTACAATTTGAAAGCATCTGGGGATCCGAGGTTGGGAACCACAAGCTAAGAGGGGAGGTTCGGTCTGTGCAAAGCGCGACAGAGAGAAACCAGCCCAACTCCGAGGCTTTTGGGCTAGTTTCTTTCTGCCCTGAAAGCCGTGGCGCTTCCCTTGGGGGAATATTTCAGGGACCAAAGGGCTACTCATGTAATGAAAGAGGATCTGCTTGGAGAGGCTGACGGCGACATTTCAGCCCTAATCTAACATGGCATTTATCAGGGTACAAGTTCCGGAGTGTCAATACAAACAGGAATCCTTTTAATGTGGGTAAATTCCCCTTTGGGACACACCCGAGCACATCCTGTCGTCTGTCCCCTCCCAAGAGGAGGGTCAGATTTCTGAGGCTCTCAGGCCAAAGCAGCCATTCATCCCTTCGCCAGCAAACATCAGAGCTTAGTTTACAACTGCCATGATCCCCCTTGGCAAGGCTGACGGGGGACGCTGGGAATGGCGATCCAAAACGGATTGATGGATAGATAAATACTTCCAAACTCTGGTGAACACGTCACAAGTTTAGAGGGTTTTCTTTTGAAGAGACTAAGCCCATTTTACACAAGCAGCAAAACTGAATATTAGGAAAGGTTATGAATGGGTTGTTTGGGTCATTTAAAAGAAAATGGCCACCCTTTGAGTTTTTTTCCACAGAACTAAAATTCAATTTTTGCCAAAGGGGGGGGAGAAGAGTGGAGATCTGAGAATGGGCCAATGGATACAAAAACAGTCCTCATCAGCCCCCCCTCTTCCTCCCACTGAATCCTCAAAAGTCTCAAGAATTTTTTATTTTGAAAAAGCCTGTTGCCAGCCTTCATGATAGAAGGTTAAGGAAACAGGCACCATGGATGGTCCATGAAGCTTTAGAAACTAAGGTGGACATTTGGCACAGCTTCTAAGTCATACAGAAAGCTGACACATGAACTTTCTAGACATGGTCTCGCCCTTCCTCCATCCCTTACTTTCAAGTGGATCTCACCTCCTATAAGACCAACCTCCATTTGGCAAGAAAGAAGAAGCAGGGAGAAGGCATAAAAAACACCAAAATTTGGGGTGGGGGAAACAAGGATTTTTTTTCAGGCAAAACTGCTTCTTTGCTAGTGGTATCCTATTCATACAGTCTCTCTGCATGGTACTTACTGATGCCTTAAAACAGGCACCAGGTTTCTGGAGCAGAGAGACGAGAAGAGACCACTGGAGAATTGAGAATCATCCTGCTATTGAAGGAGTGCACCAGACTTTCTCAAAGGTGGATGCTTTGGACCACATCTGTCATCAACAATAGCCAGGATGGCTAACGGTCAAGGGATGACCGATGCTGTAGTCCAGAATAGCCACAAAGATCCAAGTTGCAGGAGGTAAAGACAATTTCAGGCAGCACCCTCTTGTCATGACTTACCTGCCCTGTGCGAGTGGGAGAGAAAGAATGAGAGGGGACCGAGGGACAGAATTACAGCCATTTGAGAACAGAGCTGGGGCAGGGGGGACCTCTACCCAATTCAAAGAGATGTGATTGCTTAAGGAGAGAGAGCTCGAGTCAGGACAGAGACTCCATGGAAAAGCGGCTCCAAGAGCGGGCTGGTGTTTTTATTGGAAGCCAGGCCGTCTTCTTTACACCTGGGAAAGGGGCTTGAGCAAAGTTGTCAACAGTTGGGCAAGAAACAGACCCACGCGCACACCTATTCCTACTATATTCTGCCGTTTTGTTGAATTTTAATTGTTCCAAACTGCTTTGGAAGGAAGACCTTATAGAGTCCTAGAATTATGGGAGTTCAACAGGGCCTATGAAGCCATCAAGTCCGACCCCTGCTCAAGGCAGGAACTCAAATCAAGGCACTTCCTGGTTGTTTGTCAAGAGAGAGCTGTGTTACTTCTGTTGCAACAGAAACAAGAGGGCTTTTGTAGAGCGCAGCTCACTTCTCCAGGTCCAAAGTAATGAACTGAGCGACAGCCCGCAGCTCACAAAGGTTCTTTGCCAGATAAAACCTGCTAGTCTTTGAGGGATCACAAGACTGTTTGTTTTATTCTCTAGCTGTTCCGTGGGGAAAAGGTCTTACCCAAGGTATTTCACCCTAAAAGATCCATTAACTTTGCCCTAAGAAAAGGACAGATTTGGACCCCAAACAGTACCACTCTCGGAAGCTGTATGCACGCCAGAAGCACAGCCAAGATTTCAAAATGAAACAAAAAACACTCCAAGGTGTTTTCTACTTTCACCACGATCATTATCATCACCTTAGAACTGTAGGGATCCTATGGATTATTGAGTTCAGCCCCTGTCAAGGAGGCCCAGTGGGTAATTGAACTCCCAACCTCTGGTTCCACAGCCACCGACTGAAACCACTGAATTATCCAGGATGCTGAGTTCATAACCCTCGGGGGCGGCTTCCCTGCACTAATTCTCCATACAGGAGATCTTTTGGAATCCGACCATCAGCCATTCTCACGACATGCCCAAGCCAACATAGACGGCGCTGTTTCAATATTGTATACATGCTGAAAATTCCAGTTGGAGGACCAAACAATCATTTCGGCAAATGGAATTATTGCTTAATACACGGACTGGCTAACAAAAAAGCCAGCATGACCTCTGGAAATGGGTGAGAACAGAAATCTGCCTACTACTATTTTTATGGCAGGAAATTAGGAAGGAGCCTTCTTTCTAGAAACTCACCACGCCGAACTTCTTGAAGTATTCCCTGAGCTCTGTCTCGCCACAGTTGTGAGGGATCCCGCCAACAAAGATTTTATTAGATTTATTATCACTCCGCAATCCTTTCTGTGGAGACAAAAACAAAAACAAAAAAGACAGAGAGAAAGCGAGTTGCTCTGAGACCAAGACTCATCTCTCAAAATAGAATTTTCTGTGTGTGAGCGAGGTTGGATGGCTCCAGCAATGAATGAATGCCTGGAGCGCTTAAAGATTTCTTGCCCAGCCTTGTTCTTTCTCAAGTTCCCCAACATGGTCAAAGTGGCACATGCTCTGGCAGAAAGATTCAGGAGCATTAGGGCGAGTCCTGCCTCATGGGGAAAAGATAGGCATTCAGACTTAAGAGGATATTTGATGGCTTGAGGTGGAAAGGCAGTGGAGCACTGCTGGGATTAAGAGTGGGGCAGAAGCAACCCATGGCTTCTCCTCCGTTCCTTTTGCTTCCAATTTTGCTTTTAGAAGGCTTTTGCTCGAAACGAAAAGGCATAAAACATCAGCTGGGGTGTTCAGCAGACTTTTGCTGGGGTGCAACTTATGTAGCAGACCAGCACCCAGTGGGAAGGGCACTACCATACATTACTTAATGAGAACAGCAAAGGCAAGAGGCGAACATATAGCTCCACTCCCCAATGTTTTAAAGTTGATGCCTTTCCTGGCCTGAACTAATCAGTGTTATTGTTCTTTTTATTATCCCGTGGCCAGAACTCCACTGGGGATTTCCAAAACTCAAATGCAACTGCAAAACCCACAGGGGTGAACGGTTAATTAACAAATTGCTGCTTGAATTCCTGGTCATGTGCCAAGTTGCGCAACTGGCGTAAGACCAGGAATACAAGACCTGTTCAGATAGACGTTTATTACAGAAACTACAGAGACGACATATCTTGTTGCATATATCTGCTACTGCTCTTATTTTATACTTTTTTTCTTATTCTTTAGTCCCTTAGAACGTTTTATTACTGTTCTGTAACTCTTTCATGAGTGTATTAAAGACAAAATTATTTTAAAAGGATGCAAGCAGCATCTTGTTAATTAGCAATAATACATTGCTGGGGTTTATGAAACTGACTTACGCTGGTTTAAATCCCCAAAAGGAGTCTAGCTAGCGGCCGGTGTGGACTGCTGATGGATTGTACTTGCCATCATCTTTCTCCAGAACAGCCCAAAGACACAAACGCCTGTGTTAGTGATTTACCACTTTTATGGTTGCTCCAACTGTAATTCTTATTACCATTTCCCATCACAACTGCGATAAAGGGGAAAAACTTTTAATAGTACAAATACCAAGAATAAGTATTCACTGGGCAGGCACACGTGAACAAGCAGTGTGCATCCCAGAAAATTTAGTATCCGGCCCCTGACTCTCAAAAGGCAGTGTGTCAGCATGTACCTGTTGATAGCAGCTGAGCATCCAAAAAACACAGATGCCCCTCTTTTAAAACCAAACGAGGGAGACCAACCGGTTCAACTGAGGAGAGCAAAATGTTGCCACCATTAGAACCGCTTACAGGCCTTTCAGTCTATAAAGCAGGTCCATGTTCACAAGTAGCTGCAGCTCTGAAACCAGCTTTGGCCCCCTGAGAGCTCCATTGGCTTTCCGCCCGCACAAGTGAATTTCACCCTCTACTTCCACACAGTTAAACAAAGCTCCTTGGGAGCTGGACTGGGAAAAACACAGAGACAAAGGCATCCAAGGGAGGAAAAGCATAAAGCGCGGCTGACCGGACTCCCTTACCCATCCCTCCTTTGGTCGTGTTCTCTCTGGCTGCATTCCACGCGGAGTACAGGGCTTTGGATCAATCTGTCAAATAAGGGCAAGTGTCAAACGGGAGGCAGGACAAGCGACAGTAAGGCAAAAAAAAAAAAAAAAAAAAAAACCCTGAAGCATCAGCATTTGATAACTGAATGAGTAAGAGCAACAATCCCCGGATGACTCCTGCTTTCCAGGATGGCTTCAGAAACCCACTCAACTGATAAGCCTAGGAGAAGAACACTCTTCCAACAGAGGCAGACAAATCAATACAGGGGTATTTCCTCTCTCGCAGAGAAAGTCAGAAAACTCCTGGCTGGTGGGAGGCAGGCGTATCCAGAATGAAGCAAGGCCCACAAGCCAATTTGAGGCCGGGTTATTCCTGATCTAGTTTCGAGCATGTAAATGGCCACCAGCCTGGGGAAAGTAGGAATGCTAGGGGGACCGAGCCGAGATGTAGTCTGCTCCTTCCCAGAAGCCAAGGTGTCTGTAGGGCACATATCATCATGCAAGATAACAAGAATGTATGTGGTTTAATAATCACAGTGAATCTATCTGCAAAGCTGCGTAACTCAAAGCATATTTTAGTTTTATGTTTATGAGAGATGGGCACAAACCATCAGTTTGTGCCAGTTCGTTTTTCAGGCAAACAGCGCACCATCTCTGAGTGGATGGATGCCTGCTGGAGGCATGGCTGGGAACCGCCAAACATTGGTTCAGCGAAAAAAATGAACCAGCACAAACCACCAAACTAGTGGTACATGCACATCTCTAGTTTACAGTATCTGCTTTCTAGCTACAAAGAACCCTTTCCCGATCAAAAACTCAAAAATTCAGCAATGTTACAGTTTGGACAACATAGCCCACGATCCTTCACCTAACATGGCCAAGGGCGGAGACTATACTCTGGTTATCCTTCATTCCAATCACCACTGATTGGCGAATAAAGCAATTCACTGCTTAGTAAGTCAACCCAATAGTCCCATAAGCTTGGTTATTTTAACACATTTTGATTTTAATAAATAAAGCCAAACAGCGCCCAAAACACCCTGTTCCCTATGAGGGGGGAAAACTTACATTTCGGCCATCTAACGTGTGGGGCCTGCTGGCCAGGACTGTCCCCACACAGTTGGGATCTTTAAACTTGACAAATCCAAAGCCTCGCGACTGGTTCGTTGTCTTATCTTTCATTATTACGCAGTCCACAACTTCCCCATACTGGGAAAAGTAGCTACGGAGCGTTTCTGTGAAAAGAAAACACAGACACCATTTGTGGAAGAGGATTCGTTAGAGACAGAAGGTCAGCTGTAAGGATGCAGTGGCTTTTTTTTTTTAATCAAAGGACAGTCAATGCCATAGTTAGGTGGGAACCCCACCACCACCAGGCCAAATTAGATGGGACAGAGAGTTCTTTAATTCTAAAAATCCCTGGAACATTCTATACCACATCATTTCTCTAAATGGCTTTAGGGTTGAAGAGCAGTTGTATTTCTTGAGGGCAGCCCAAAGAAATGCATAAGGTATAAAATTATTTTGAAACTGCAACCCTTCAGAGCTTAGGAAAAGGTCAGACCTCGGTATGACACGAACTTGCAAATCCCATGCTCAAGGATGCATGTATGGAGAAAGCGAGGTAGCCAGCACACACAGATGCAGAGAAGTTCTCAAGAACACCTCTTTAGAGAGATCTTGGCAGGCCCATTGTGAGGATGCCAGCGTTACTATGCTAAATGTCAGGCCCCTTCACCATTCTCTTTTCAGAGAAGGAACTTGTTCTGGAGAACTGATGGATGCAGATAGGATGGGTTTTTGGCCGCCCAGATGCAAGGAAAGCGTACATGATTTGGAGTCAAGCCATCTGAGAGGTCATGCAGCCAATAGTGAGCTGCAGGGCTGAACCAATCTGCTGGGAAGAGGTGGAAACTTCAGTGTGCATCTTTAAAAAAAGAAGTTTGTGAGCAGTTCAGGAGAGGATTACCTTGCGTGGTGCTCCAGTCCAGGCCACCTACAAACAGCTTTCTGCAAGTCAAAGAACACTAGTTAATGCTTGTTCCACGGAGGAAAAGTTTCTGTCAAGTTGACAAGATTCTATGCAAACACACACACCCCGATACACACACCCTTGGCCACAATGAGATATTCTAATAAGACTCCAGAGCGGTAGTGGCTTTACTTGCTACGCTTTGTGGAGCTCAAAGCAAATACCAACGAAAAAAAATAATACTATTTGCCACAGTTGCCTGTATAGTGAAACCATTT